TTTAAAAATATGTTATACTGCAGTAATGCTGATTTAGTAACATATCAATAGACAGGAGAGTGTTGAACTGAAAAAGAAGGTTGTATCGCGACAGAAAGGTCACAAGATGCATGTACTGTAATCGCCTGTAGGTCTCTGTGTGGTCTGTGGTCTGTGGTCTGTTTTCTGTTCTTCACCTGAGCACTGCAGCAGGCTCAGGTCCAGAAAAGCAGACCAGATCTACGCTGGAGTTTACTGCTATCTTCCTTTGTGGAACTTCAAGGCACTTCCAGGTCAGCTAATAGAAATTACAACGTGCATGGAAACCTTTAAAAAGGGGATTTCTATGATGTGCTCCAATTCTCAAATGACCAATAAGCCGCAAGATTTGGCAGGGAGTAGACCGACAGCAGATACCAAACTATACCAAAGCCATACCAAACTATCACCTAGCATCATGCTACTCATTTTGTCAATGAAGAATTTTTTATTTTTGGGTGGAAATTTGTCCAAAGACCCAACAAAATAAGGGCTCATTTTCAGTTGCATTAAGAAGGGTTATAGATAGACTTGCATATTTTCCCTTGTAAACCATAGCTCTTCCATCAGCAATAGCAACACGGACTAATAGAAGAGCAAATTTCCCAAACTCACTCTGTAATTCATAAGTAAATACCATTTCTGTGGACGTGAGCTTTGGAAAATTTACTGAAAGTTGGTTTACATGAGGACTGAGTGTGTGTTCCCAATACTGTAACATATGATGAGGAAGCCTGATTTTAGGTCATTGGTGGTCTTACCCCAACAAAAATTAAAAATGGAGTTTTGGAGATTTGCTGTTCAGTTTATCTATTTCAAAATACACTTAAAATGCCTGTTTTATGTGGAATAAATGGAAAAAAAATGAATCAAAGGTGCCAGTGAACATATTCAGCGTGGTACAGGATGGCATCTCATATGCCTCATTTCCAACAATGTAGTTCCGGAGCCGGTGTCGGCCTTCTTCCCAATCCAGAACTGGTTCTGTGCGTTTTCACCGCAAGAAACTGGCCTTGGTCCAGAAAAGGCAGCTCCAGCACGGCACCACAGAAAAGCTGATCTCAGAATTTGGAACCGTAAAATCGGCAAAAGTGGGATGAGTTATTGCATCCAAACCTTCCACATCCTGAGAAAATTTAATCCATTGTCGATATAGTTTAGTCTAATATCTTCGGTGCTGGCAGTGAAACAACTTGCCAACTTATTAGCAAAATAACATTACATAGCATCTTTTTTTATTCTGTGGAAAACAAAAGATCGACTTGCCGGCCAGGTTTAATAATAAATTCTAAACATGTCACAGACAGAATATGCAAAATATTGTGGCACTTGGGTGGTGAAGAGCAAAATTGTCCTTTTATTGCATTATCTTTAAAAGGACATTAGTAAAACAGCAAGCAATAATAAAAAATAAACTCACTTTTTCATTCTATTCTTTTTTGAGACCTGTGGAAACGCGGGCAGGTTCTTAAAAGGCACCGAGCGAGAACCAGCCCAGCACCAAGTTGGTGGAATCGAGGCACCAAACAGACCAGAATGTCAGTCTTTCCAACGAAGTGGCCCATCTATAAGACTCAAGATCAAAGTGGAAACATCTGATAAGTGCAGAATATTCTAACGCTCACCCATCCAATCGCTGACCTTCACTCTCTATACACGGTTAGCCCCCTCCCCATTTTTCCGGTGCTCCTCCGGCGGTGAGTCGCGAGACGCGCGTAACGGTCGATGGTGTCCTCCTACCGTCGGCATCCCGGTGCTCCAGCGGTGGTGAGTCCCGAGACGCGCGTAACGGTCGATGGTGTCCTCCTACCGTCAGCTTCCCACCAGACGATAGCGCACAGCAGCCAAAACAAACAACGGCAGCGGCAACAAAAGGACGGAAAGCTGCCTTGGCATTCTGTGCAAACATTATGCCCCAGAGCCACGTGCCAGTGAAACCAACAAGAAAAAAAATCAAATGATAAATAAATGACAAAAAGGCCAAACAATTTTCGAATTGTGAATATAGAAGGACTAACTGTTTTGCAGATCCATATATACTGGGCTATTCTGCTGCTATGCTAAAACTGCTATGATATGTGCCTTAACATCCGAAGTCTAGAATATTTTGAAAATCATTTCATCGGCAGCCATGGTCTTAGTAGATGTTTTTGACGGAGGGCATGGCGTCTTCGGCTTTCAGTGCTTGTTCTCAAATATCAATCTCCATGATGGGATGGCCATGCCCACAGTGTCCAGTATGAAGTCAGTGACGTCAGTCTCATCAACTGATGGAGCAGTAATATCTATGTCTGAATATCTGAAGAATTTCAGGTACCCTGTTGGGTCGTCTGCCCCTCCTGTAATTGTTTGAGGGATAGCTTTACCATTCTACTTTCTGCTGTCCTGCTCCTAACCACTTTACTTAAGGCACCCAAGTATAATGCATTATAGATACCTTCATAATGCATTTTAATGCATTCATAAAGTATTATAAACACTGCTATGACTATTTAAAAAAGGCATAACACATAATAGCCCTGTTTAGTATGCATTATGAATGCTCTATGAAGCTCTCATCTATAATGTACTATAAATACCTTCATAATACATTATAATGGCTTATAATGCATTATACATGAGTGCTTTAAGTAAAGTGTTACCTAGTTAAGCTGTAGCATCAATCAAATGGTGATATGATGTCCTTATTCGTGATGGAGTGATTCAGTTTAATGTGATTTATGCTGAACCAGAATTGAAACGTAGGGCCCACTGACAGTGCAAGAACAAGCTGGTCCACAGACTTTCTGTTTAACTGCTCAACTCATACAGTTGTGAAAGTAGCTCTGTGAGGATGTGTGAGGATGCTTTTGGCGTTTCAGAGTGGACTTGTATGATGAGTGCATCCTTGTTTCTGAAGGAGGAGCAGCAGAAATGCGGCTCAATTTCACATAAACTATGAAGGTCACCAGAGAACCGTACTGCAATGGCTGTCTTTGTGCGGCAAGTATCTGGCACCGGGTTCGTCGTTAGTTGTCTGTACTGTAGCCTTATATGCAGTGCGAGACTATTACTTCCAGTGTCAGACTATTACTTCTGACAGCCTACAGACGCTGAGTAATAGATAAGGGCGAAGTTATGAAAGTTTTAATCACATTGATTTGGTAAGAGAGTGTGGTTCATACTCGATCCGGGCGACGTGAGTGTGTGTCCATGCAAAAGTCCTTAATGAGTCTCGCAAATTAAGTGGATTTGGAGATGTGTGAGAGGTGGACATTGCAGGGAAATCAATTACTGCATCCCTGAGCTGCAGTTTCATAGTGCCTCTGCTCTCCTGGGAGCAAACTTCCCTATCTTCATCTCCCCCCAAGCTCCACTGTAACCACCCATAGAGTCGTGGCTTTTTGCTGGATCCTCCCCACCCCCCCCTCCTTCTTGCTCGGCCGGCGTGATTTTTCACCACCACCCCCTCCTCCTCCACACACGATTACCGCCACCCCTCAGCAATTTGCTATGATGCGGACGCCTCTGATTGGCCGCCAGCCTGTCTCGAACCACTCTAGCGCTGTCTGGCTGCTGCGCTGCCATTGGCAGGCGCCCTCCCAAACGAGCAGCTGCCGAGGTGGGGCTCAGTCGCCCTAATCGATACCCGGTCGAACGTGCGGAGTGCCGAGTGACAGGGCACCTGACAGGTGGCGCTGTTGCATGAGTGAGCTCTCTGTCTGGTTTGGGCAGGGACCAGGTCGGGTTTGAGCTGCCGGATATGGGCACACCGCCAGGCTCGGCTGCAGTACCACTCCCACCGCCACCCACGGATCGCACCGCCAATAGGAGACAATTCCTATCCGGACTGATGCACCAGCGCCCCCCTGCACTACCCACCATTTGCCCCGCCCCCCCAGACACTTCCACTCCAAAGCCCCCCCCCCGTCACCACAGCCCGCAATGATGTCACAGAAGTCTCTGCACTGCCGATGCAGGAACCTTAATCTGCTGCAGAGAAAGCGAAGGCCTCTTTCTGCCTTTTCACCAGGAAAACCGTAACACATACAGACAATGCAGAGTGTGCGTGACTTTGTGTGTGAATGCATGACAGTGCACGCGTGCGAAGAGTGCGTGCCTACGTGCCGCCTGATATAAGATGGCGAGCTTGTTGTCACGGTGATGGCGGTCTCTCCCCCCAGCCGGGGCCAACGTCGAGAGTAGGTGTCACCCTCCCTGGCTGCCGCGCAGCCGTCTGCAAAGCAGGCGATGCAGGCACGACGTCCCACTGGTGCTGTGGCCTTTCATCACGTGTGGGTGAATGTTCATTCAGAAATTTCATCCCTTTCGCAAGGCGGCCTGACAGGCTGTATCATCGCCCTAATTTCACGCACAAAGACCTCCCCGATGCAGGCAGCTTCCCCTTCTAGGGGGGTGGTGGTGGTATGTGTGTGTGGGGGGGGGGGTTAGGGCATGTAATGGAATAACCGTGCGGTATTTCCTGTGTTGGCTCGCACTTGAAATTATTCACACGTTTCCGTCTGGCCCGTTTACATTTTTAACACTTGAGTCCAGCAAATGAACGAGCGTAGGCCTGCTTCAAAGACGACCCCCTCCAAAGCACCCCCCCACCTCAACCTCAGGCCCCCATCAGCTGCCGCTTCATTGCCACTCAGGAAGCTAGCCGTCAGCTGGCCCTCGAATGAGTCACAGAATTTAATTTCTGTGGGCCTTATAAAAATAAAACAACGACAAAAGGAAAACACTGCCTTTGTCTGGCGGCCATGCTTTAAAATTTCGCTTGGTAATGTTTAGGGAGGGGCCAGGGCTGAGTCACAGTGCGTGCTCCAGGTGAGGGGTACCTCAGACTCGGAAATCAGGGCTTGGCAGGGGGGGGGGGGCGGGGGGAGGCGTCCCATCCATTTAGGACTGACACCCAAAAAAGCAGGTCTTCCGAATCTAAACCAGTTCACATCTGAGGTTATGAAGAAAGGGGGAGTTCTTTACAGTGCACTACCTACCTGAAGTTCCTGTTAACCTTTCCAGTTTCTTGCTTCCTTTCGCATGTTCGGTGCACATCTAAGAAAAAAAAAAAGTAAACAAGTTAATTGTTAGATTAGGCATGTCAAACTGATTTTTATAAGACTAAATACTAAGTTACCGCGTGCATTTCGCAGTACCCTCTACAATGAAGTGCGTACTGTCGGACATGTTCAGACAGACTTTCGCAAAGGTCTTTGAGGTGAAGAATAACATGTGAAGTCCATCCCTACACTGGCATTTCACACGCATTCAATTGCGTATCTTCAGTTAAGTGCAATTTGTTCCGCTAAGTTAACTTTGTCATATGAAATACAAAAAACCTCCATTCATTAAGGACAGAAGTTCATTTGATTAGACGTGTTAAATTGCATCTGACTCTAAATAGATTAACAGACCTCCCCCAAAGCTATTCTGATATAAATACTTTACCAACAAGAAATAAACCAGCTTTCAGTACTCTGCTGTGATGCTCTTTTTCTGTAGCATAATGGCTTCCAGTCAGTCGGCTGAGCTTTCTTAAGATATGTGGTTTAATCAAATAAAAGGTAGACTCAAAAGTGACATACTCTTACCAACTAAAAGGAAGTCCAATCCTTCATATTTTCTTAGAAAGCCATTTTTCTAAGCACTAAGTTCATGTGTTGACAAAACATAATCTGAGCTGCTTGGATACAACAAATAAATAAAAAGAATGAGATTGGAGAAAGTAGGACAGTGTACAAATTCTCCCATGTGCTAAAACCTAAATAAACAAACCAGTAATGAACTGGCCGGCACATCGCAGGTGTATACAGTACCTATCAGATAGCCGAGTCTGGACTGGGCGGAGAGTTCTCGTTAAAATAAGAGTGCCTCCCTCAGAGCTGAGACGATGTACCACATCTGAGGCAATCAGGAAGAAGTACTAGCATCCCCCAAATACATAAAAAGAAAAACCACATCCAACGTCGTAGATGCAATACTCTCAAGAAATGTCGTCTCTGTCAGTCAAGGAGAATTAGAATTCACTAGGTCACACCTGCATGTACTAGGACTTCACTTCGGCGGTGTTAGTGCAGACATTCAAAAACAACATGCAACATAAGTTAAGGAAAATAATAATTAAAAAACAGAAATAAAGCTGATTTAACTAAAACCGACCGTGCAAATCGGTACAGGTTATAGGCAGGAAATCAGCATTTGTGAAAAGTACGACGTGTACAAGTCCAACTATAAATTTAAGTACCACATAGAAGGAACACGGTGAAAAGCATGTTAAAATTCTCTGACCGCACGCTGAGTCAGGAATTATCCTTTTGAGTTTCGAAGACATAAAACTACATCCGCGTAGAGCCCACTGGACAGTTGGATTTCGAACTGTAGCAGCCATTAAAGGCAGGCTGTTTTTTGAGGACTGTTCAGGAATACACACACACACTCCATTCATTTCTATGGGGAAAACTCTAACCCCAGCATGACAACCTTAACCCCTGCCCAGCCCTAACCTGAACCATAAATAACCAAACAAAAAACAAGAGTTTTGGCATTTTTAGTTTTTCGATTACATTCACAGATCTTTGTGGGGACCTGAAAAATGTTCCCACAACATCAAAATAATTGATTTTTATCACACACACACATATACATATATTATATACATATATATATATATACATTATATATATATTATATCTTACAACAACAGGCTGGGTTTTGGGTCACCAGAGCAATGCAGATCCCATGGAAACCCACAGCATGATTATTATCATTATCTTTACTCTCATTATTATTATAAATCAGGGATAACAAATTCCTTGCATTCCACACTTGCCCTGCGGTGCCCGGAAAAGCTGCCCCCCCCCCCCCCCCCCCACAGGAATTCTCTTGTTTGAGATGGACCTCATCACTGCATGTTTCTGGAAATGAGCTGTTCTGGTCTGGGCAGCGAGTCAAAAGAACGGGGCAGGGGTGGGGGGGGGCGGGGGGGCTGCATATAAGCTCGTAGTTGCTTTTATTAGAGTGGTTTCAGTACTATTTAATTTTTAAAAGTCTTTTTTTTCCACAATAAATGGCTTTAATTATGAGCTTGCATTATCCACAATGGCACTGTGGCGAAACCACTATTAGCGGCTCCCAGGTGCTTTCTAAGCACATCTCACGTCTCGCCGGCTTACCTGAGAGCACAGGGGCCCTTGCAAATCAAAAGATTTACATCGAGCCGTTTGCCTCTAATCTGGACCATTCAGATCGACATGCCCTTGTCACCGATTTAACACAGAGAGGTCCAGTGTAAGCTGTACACTATCCTGCCAGACAAACATTAAAAACTAGTAAAAAATCAATTAAACAACACATAAGCTCAGGCTGAAGTAATTTAATTTAAAAGGATGCTGAAACACTGGTCTTATTCATTTCAATAACTTATTATACATACAGGTGATTAAATAAGAGGATTTGTTGCTCGTTTCATACTTAAGAAATAACATTTTAAAACAGAACGACAAACTTTCGGTGCAAACTTTTTGTTTACAGTTTAACTGCTTAGTTTTACTTCAAAATGATTTACAAATGCTTACAGTTTTATTTAATATTTTTAATTGAAGTGAAATTGTCAGAAAAGATACTACATGCAATATAAAAAAAAATGAAGAATTTATCTGGTGTCATCCAGATCTAATTAAAACTGGAAATGTATAAAGATCGAATTTTGGCAAATCAGTGTGTTTACTATATCAGTACTGCATCAGTACTATTTACAGGTATTCCTCATGTTGTCTGCATTCTGTTGCATTTGAGATAAATGTTTACTGTTTAAATTCTATATTGTGATATTCAATATGACATAGTTCTTTATTGATGGATTATCGATTCAAAGTTCTCAGTTTCAACATGAACCCTTGAACCCAAGAAACAATACAGTGCAGTTGAGATTCACACACCATGAAACACAAACATTTTATTATTATGAAAACAGAATAAATGCCAATTGGCACAGAATCGTAATATGTGTGAGTGTGTGTGTATATATATATATATATATATATATATATACACACACATTTGACAAAATATAAAATAATTTCATTTTAATTAAATACGAATTACCGAAGTTAATTTCAGAATCACAATCTGTTTCATTGTTATTTATATTTAAGCTTAAATGATTTTGAAGCCTATTTAAAAAAATATTTATATAGTTTGTTCATATCAAGCCCTGCTATACCAATATAGCACTATCTAATAGTAAGAAATGGCAAAATATTAATTACAAATATTAAAAATGACAAAATATTAACAATCTAAAATTAAACCTCCCAGGATAACACTTGAGGATTAAGGATTATAATGGCGTTCGAATTAAATCCTGCAGTAGGTATAGTGGGGGACCCACAAAGGCCATGGGGGGGTCATGCAGCTCGGCAGGTCAGGACTCAGTAAAGCTCAGCATCTAGAAGGTTGTGGGCTCCAATCCTGTGACCAGTGGCATAATCGTAGCACTGCTGAGCCCCTAAGCAAGGCCTTTAACCCGGACTGCTTCAGGAGTCTTGCATGCTGACAGAAAAACTTTCACGCGTGCATCTGTGATAGGATATGTAAAACACCAGAGGACTGCAATGTACTTCCATTCCTGTACGTGCAGCAATGGAAAATAAATAAAGTATAACCCTGTTTTGTAGACTCGATATAATTGCTTTGCCAATACTGTTTTCTTTTTCTGGAACGTTCACATCAATAGTGCGTTTCTCAGCCAAACCCCTGGTGTCAGTTATTCCCTCTTTGCAGAGCGCTTCTGCTGCTGTGCCGTATCACAGTGACAATTTTTTTTTTTCTGGAACGTTCTAAAGCTACATATTTTGGGTGCGGATTCCGGAACAGCACTAATTCGGGGAAGTCCAGCAATAGGCTAGCCAAGGGGACACAGCGAGAGAGCCTGTCTGTCCACCCGAATTACCTGCCTGTCGAACCATAAGACCCGACAGAGATTACCCATCTGTCAGCCCCGAGTGACGCTCTGTCTGCCCAGGATGCCAGTCCGATATCCCAGCATCCCTACACCAGGGCCAGCTGCACTCGGCAAGCCTGTGAAGACTCGCGGTTAAAAGCAGCTGTCTGAGAGGTAGAGAACAGTCACACGGATAACAGGTCCTGGAGGAAACAGGGCCGACCCCAGCCCTGCTGATGCAGCACAGCGGTGGGCGGCCCCGGGGGGGGGGGGGGGGGGGGGACTTTCTAAATCAATATCCATCCTACCCCCACTGCCCATATGCTTCAGTTTAAGAGCACAGCCCTGGCAGCAAAAAGGCTGCCTGACTCGCCGACTCACTGACAGGCAGACAGCGGGGTCCCTGGGCTCGTCCCTGGGCTCGTCCCCGCCTGGGTCTGCACTGCGCACCGGCAGATCTGCCTCAGCTACTCGCTATTAGCCATGCAGCTTAAGAGCCTATAAAAGATTGGCTGTGCAAGAGGCCTTTTTTTTTGCCGTGTCCTTAAATGCCCCTCCTGTCCCACTTGCTCCATCTAATCTCTCTCGCTCCCTCCCTACCCCTCTCTCCCTCCTCCCTCCCTCTTTCCACCCCTTGTATTCTTTCACCCTGGGAAGATCCTTTCGCTTTTCTCCCGCTTCCTGTTCCATCTTGCGACACTCTGTTTTCTTTCCCTCTCTCCCTTTCCCTCTTGTCCTCCTCTTCCTATCTGGCAGCTGTCCTAGAAGAGGCCCCTAACCCCCCTTGTCTTCGCCACCCTTATTCCTCTGCTTATTTGCCCTGCTCTCCTCTCTTCTTTGCACTCGCTGCCATTTTCTCTCCCTCTCTTTATTTTTTTTTTTTACCTCTATCTCGCTGCCCTTCCTCAATCTTTTATCTTCTCCTCGTTCTAAATCCTCGTGACTATCAATCCCCCCCCCCTTTTTTCCCCAGCGCGCCCCTGTCGGTTCCCCGTTCCCAACTGTCTTGCAGCCTGATGGAGCGAGGGTGGGGTTATCTGCACCGGTTGCCATGGCACCAGACAGCCCTCGCTCTGTGTAGGCACGGAGCATCCTCTCTGCTCCACTTCCCTAG